TAACCAGGGCTCCTATTTCTTCTTTTGGGACTCTTATATTCTTCCCTCCCGAAATCTGCCTCAGTCTGTCCTGGAATAATCTGTCTTCTCCTCTGACCTCTCCTAGTGTTTGCTTTTTCTTTGGAAGGCACCTTCTCCCCTTTATTTTGTGGTAACTTCCTGGAGAGCAGGAGCAGTACTTGTTCTCTTTTGTGTTTGCCATGTTGCGTAAAACAGTGAGAGACAAACGCAAGAGTCTCAATCGGGTCTTTATAAAATCATGGCATTGGAAACTATGGACTTCAGTGACAGATGATATGTGCTAGGCTTCAGAATGCCCTTAAGGTGGGAAAACATTTTGTATCATTTTCAACATTTGTATCAGTTTGAAATCTGCCTACTAAGTAACAATAAAGAAGTTAGCAACATAATTTATGCTTAAGAGGAGGGGTTCTGGGGTGATGTTCCAGCTGGAAACTTGTCCTATGGTTTACTGCACTGTGATCTTCAGCAAGATATTTTAGTTCTCCAGATTTCCGTTTTCCCAGCTGTAAAAAGAGATAACAATATGAATTTCAGTGAACATAAAAAGCACCCGTTATTTTATATATTACAAAGAAAGAAACATTGCTATCAATTAAACAGTAACAGTGCTTTCTATGGTTTAGAATTTTTATCTTATACTTACGGATATAGCTCTTTTAGATGTATTTAGGCTTTTGAAAAATCACATATCACCCATTAAAAAGGAAAATAAATTGGTTAAGGTTTTCCTAGGCGTCTTCTTGTTCAGGCTGAGTCTTCTGAAGCACATTTGGACTCAAAGTTGTCGAGGTTCGTGTTTCCCCACACATCATCATCCTCTGAACCCCTGAAGTTGTTGGGAGGCAACTTTTTCTCCCCCAAGAATAAACTGTTTTCTGTAGGATTGTCTGCCAAACTGCTAACACCTTTCCTCAAGTTTTGAATGCTGGTGCTTTCCCAGTCTTACAAATCCACATCAACACAAGATTTTCAGGCAACAGCCAGTATGCAGATGGTCCTAAAATAGTTTGTACATTGAAACACCAGGGCGTTGCAGATGGTCAGCCAGGGCCAGGAAAACAATCCAGTTATAACCACTGCATCCTGCTACTTTCTAGCTGATGGCGATTGTAGGGCACATCCCTGTTTCAGAGATGCTAAAATGTAAAATAATAATAATAATAGTAATAATAATATAAGCTATAACCTATTTCCTAAAGTTGTGATGACATTCAAAGGTGAGAAAGTTTGTAGCTATTGTTGTGATTATAGTTACTATAAATTCTTAGAAAACATAGTGGGGTTTTCTAACACTAATTTGTGGGGCACTCATTAATGTTATATATTTAGTAATTTATTGTTCAGTGTTCATACTTTAAAATTTCCTAATTTTTCCTCTTTTTAATTGAGGTATGGTTTACATTCAATGAAATGCACAGGTCTTAAGTGTTTACAGATCTTGAATTTTGACACCTATGTTACAGACAGCCCAATCAAGAAACAGAACATTTTCATCACTCAAGAAACAACACCCTGTATTGTCCCAGTCATTATCATCCCTCCTTTATTCTGATACCTTCTACCATGGATTAATTTTGCCTGTTCTAAAACTTAATGGAATCATGTGGCACTACTCTTTTGCATCTTTTGTAAAGACACATACATGTTGGCAGGGCGTGGTGGCTCATGCCTGTAATCCCAGCACTTTGGGAGGCCGAGGTGGGCAGATCACGAGGTCTGGAGTTTGAGACCAGCCTGGCCAACATGGTGAAACCCTGTTGCTACTAAAAAATACAAAAATTAGCTGGGCGTGGTGGTGGACACTTGTAATCCCAGCTATCTGGGAGGCTGAGGCAGGAGAATCGTTTGAAACCAGAAGGGAGAGGTTGCAATGAGCTGAGATTGCGCCACTGCACTCCAGCCTGGGCAACAAGAGCAAAACTCCATCTAAAAAAAAAAAACAAACAAAAAACCAACAACACATACATGTTGCTGCAGGCATGAAGGGTTTGTTTCTTTTTATTGCTGAGTAGTCTTTCATTGCGTAGCTCTATTATTCTTTTTGCATTTTCCTGCTAATGCACATTTAGGTTGCTTCCAGTTTGGGACTGGCTCTCAGGCATAAAGACACTATGAACATTTATTTGAGTGCAAATATTTTTGATGACGTGTTTTCATTTCTTTTGTGTAAATGCCTAGAAGTAGAATTGTTGGATTGAAGGGTAGGTATACATTTAACCTTATGAGAAACTGGCAGAACTTTTCTTGAAGGGACCATTTTACATGTGTGAGAGTTCCAGTTGCTCCATACCGTTGTGAATGTTGACATTTTTAGTTGAGTTAATTTGGAACATTTGAGTGGGCTTATAGTGGAATCATTATGGTTTTAATTTTTCTTTTCTTAATGATTAATGATGTCAAATGCTTTTTCATGTGCTTATTGGCCGTTTGTGTGTCTTACTTTGTAAAATGCCTGTTAAGTCATTTGCCTGTTTTTTTTTTTGTTTTTTTTTTTTCCTTCCTGACGGAGTCTCGCTCTGTCACCCAGGCTGGAGTGCAATGGCATGATCTGGGCTCACTGCAAGCTCCGCCTCCCGGGTTCACACCATTCTCCTGCCTCAGCCTCCCGAGTAGCTGGGACTCCAGGCACCCACCACCACGCCTGGCTAATTTTTTGTATTTTTGGTAGAGATGGGGTTTCACTGTGTTAGCCAGGATGGTCTCCATCTCCTGACCTCGTGATCTGCCCACCTTGGCCTCCCAAAGTGCTCGGATTACAGGCGTGAGCCCCTGCACCTGGCTCATTTGCCTGTTTTTCAATGGCACCATTTGTGTTTTAATTGTCGAGTTGTAGTATTCAACTTCTTTGTCAGTTAGACATATTGCAATGATTTTCTTCAAGTCTGTGACTTGTCTTCTCATTTTTTTAGTGATGTCTTTTGATGAGGAATTTTTAATTTTGATAAAGCCCATTTATCCTTTTTTAAATAGTATTTTCTGTATCTTATCTGAAGTTCTTGCCTACTCCAAAGTCAATAAAATATTATTTTATTTTTTTTTTGTAGAAGCTTTATAGTTTTAACTTTTACATTTGGGCCTGTGATCCACCTTTAGTTAAATTTTTGTATGGTTTGAGGTATGAATCAAGGTTAATATTTTTCCCATGTGGATGGCTAGTTGTTCCAGCACCATTTGTTGAAATACTTTCTTTTCCTTATTGACTTGCTTTGGCACTTTGGTTGGCTGTATATGTGTAAATCCACTCCTGGACTGTTTATTCTATTCCATCAATCTATTTGTCCATCTATATGCAATGCCATATGACCTTGATTTATAGTGGCTTTAGCCTTAGTCTTAGACTAACTTTTTAAGGATTGCTTTGGTTTACCTAGACCGCTCCTCCTCCTCTTCCTCCCCCTCCTCCTCTTTCTCCTTCTCCCCCTCTTCCTCTCTCTCCTCTCTTCTTCTTCTTCCTCCTCCTCCTCTTCCTCCTCTTCCTCCTTCTTCCTCCTCTTCTTCTTGTTTCTGCTGCTTCTTCTGCTTCTTCTCTTCTTTCTTCCTATTCTTCTTCTTCTTCATCATCTTCTTCTTCTCCTTCCTTTCCTCCCTCCCTCCTTCTCCTTCTCCTCCTCCTCCTCCTCCTCCTTCTTCTTCGAGATGGGGCCTTGCTATGTTGCCCAGGCAATCGTGCAATCATAGTGTACTACAGCTTCAAACTCATGGGCTCATTCTTCTACATTTTATTCATTTATTTTTTTATTTATTTAGAAGTGGAGTCTTATTCCATTGCCCAAGCTGGAGTGCAGTGGCAAGATCTCAGCTCACTGCAACCTCTACCTCCCGGGTTTAAGCGATTCTCCTGCCTCAGCCTCTTTAGTAGCTGGGATTACAGGTGCTTGCCACTGTGCCACTAATTTTTGTATTTTTAGTAGAGATAGGGTTTTGCCACATTAGCCAGGCTGGTCTTGAATGCCCGACCTCAAGGGATCCACCCACCTCAGCCTCCCAAAGTGCTGGGATTACAGGTGTGAGCCACCATGCCCGGCTCACTCTTCAACGTTTTAGAATAAGCACACACATTTCTACAAAACAGCCTCATAAAATTTTGATTGAAATTGTATTAAATCAATGAATCAATATGGGGAAAACTGAAATATTACCAATATTGAACCTCCAGTGTATGTATAATAATTTAATCTTTTAAATTATTTGTCTTTGTCTCAGCAGTTTTTGAAAAATAGTTTTTACTGTAGAGCTCTTGCTCATATTTAAAAAAAGTATCTGTCAGTATTTTGAGTTTTAAAATAGTTTGTAAATTGTATTTTTTAAAAAAATCATCTTCTAGTTTTTTGTTGTTGATATTTAGACATAAGATTGATTTTTGTATATTGACCTTGTATGCTGCAACCTTGCTACATTTAATTTACCATATATTTTGCTCAGTGCTTGACAGAATTTCTTGTTTATTCTTGTAACTACCTATGAGTCAGGTGTTATTGCAATCATATTTTATAAGAAATTTGCCCCAGATGTGCTAATTTTCTTGCTCCAGGTCATGCAATTTGAGTAACAGGGGAGGAATTTAATTTAGGTCAACTCTGATTATATGGCCCAGTCCCCTTCCACACTGCTATAATATGTCATCTCTTTGACATTTATATATTATTTGAATGGAGTGACACATTGTGGTTCCTCTGGATTCCACTGGGACATTTTTGTGTCATCATATTTCACGGGACATGGCTTAGCCAATGGAACTCCTAAAACAGACATAACAAGAATAAGGTGATAAAAAAGACTGGTGATTTTTCCAGTTTAAGGAGGGCAGTATTTTTCCAGGTTCTTTCCCCAGAAGACTGCTAAGGAAGTTGTACATGATCTCAAAGTTCTGTTTCTTTGCCCATGCTGTGAATGTACATTAGCTGCTGCTAGATCTTCCATGTGTGCGGATGCTGTAAAGCTTGTTTTCCCTCCTTCTCTCCCACAATGTGCTGTAGGAAACCATTTCTGTACAGCTAAAGACCTCACCGAGGAGATTAGATCATTAACATCAGAGAGAGAAGGGCTGGAGGGACTCCTCAGCAAGCTGTTGGTGTTGAGTTCCAGGAATGTCAAAAAGCTGGGAAGTGTTAAAGAAGATTACGACAGACTGAGAAGAGAAGTGGAGCACCAGGAGACTGCCTATGGTAGGTAGTGCACAACTGTTCCTCGGCGAGATGTTGATATTTGTTGTGTTTTGTGGCCGGGCAGGATGTTCTATGCTTTATGTGAACGTCACTGTGAAGAGCGTCACGGAGCACATGGCCCTTTTCCTTGGGGACGTTTTTGGCAGGCGCCTTGGCAAACTGAATGGAATTACTTGTCAGCTTTTGTTTTCATATTCACATATGACATCTTTCCTTTTTCTGTTCCCCGTCCCACCCTGCGTTTGCTAATAGCCTTGTTATTATTTAGGGCAGTCTCTCCCTTGGCAAGGTCTTGAGCATTTTCTTTGTGTGACAATTATCTTCCTTTTGTCTCTTGGCTCAGTCTCCTAGTCTGCACAATCATAGACTAAATCAGGTTGATCTGAGAAAATCGAGGAAAGACCACAAAGTGGCTCTTCTATGTGTGCGCTTTTCTGAGAGCTGCTTTCCCCAGGCAAGATGATGTCGAAGATGTGAATGCTGCCTTAGCCAAAGTGTCTGCTGGTCAGAGGAGTTCAAGTGTCCTGAGTTCTTTCCTTTTCCAGTTGTTAAGAGTAACAGGTTACTCTGACATTTGCACCTAGAGGGATGGTCTCAGAAGGCGCTGGTTCAGTGCAAATTGAGATAGTAAAAACTTATTTCTTAAAACATGTAAGGAATTTCTGATGATTCAGTTTCTAATATACAGAATAAAATCATTAAAAGCAAATTCAGATTTAATCTTTATTAAATACTGGAACCTGTTTCTGCACCAGTAAAATGACAAGAATAAAATCTATCTCCTAGGCAGATTGGTACAGATTATTTACAAAGATCCTGGAGTGTGTGTGTGTGTGTGTGTGTGTGTGTATGTGTGTGTGTGCCTTTCCATTGCCCCTAGAAACTAAAAGTCAGGGGTCATTTACAGCATACCATGGTTCCTAAATAAATGTTATTTACTAAAAAAATTGAATGAAATATATATGAATAAACAGCTATATTTTACAAAGTATGCTTATTTAAGAAGACATAAGAAAAGAGCGGGGCTGATGGGAACCAGATTTGAAATAGGACTTTTGTAAATATTCTGTAAATTGAAGTAAATGAAGAGTAGTAGTTATAAGCTAGATTGAGAAATATAAAATCCGCTAGCTGAAGTTAAGTGCATCAATTCGGGATGAATAAATTTTTTTTTAAATGCCTATCAATTTATGTAGAGAGAGGTTTCTTCACAGAGATATTTGAATCAAAGAGTATGTTCAGTAGTTATTCTGTCTTCTTTGTAATGAATACCCTGAAGTTGACTTTAACAACTCAGTACTTATCTTTTTTTCTTTTCATTCTTAAAGGTCAAGCGTTGTTTTTGCCATATATGTAATTACAGACTGTACGTTTGAGCCTAAATAACTATAGTACTAAGGAATGACAACATGCTCACCCGAGACACCACAGCCTGGTTTACTCTGTTGTGATAGGAATGAGGACTGTACATTTTAAGTAGGTTTCTGCTATTGAGTTTTTAAATGTATGAACAATGGAAACTACAACATTTCTCATGTTATCACCACATAACTTTTTGTCACAAAATGAAGAATATATTATATCCAAGAATAAAGAGGAAGTGAATTTGAGCAAATTTAGTCCAGCAATATTTTCATTTGAATAGTTGAGCCTTGAAAGCCATTAATATCTCTTTTTAAAAAAAGAACCGTGCAGTTTTTTTTGAATCTCATCATTGTCGCTTCACTAAGTATTTTCACAATGATGAATAAAACATAAACAAATGGAATGAGAGATTGCTACTATGGATGATTCTAAATTGCAGATGGCTCATTACTGTTGTGAAGCTTCTCTTTATGTTTTTACACTTGGATTTTGCTGGATCAGCCACCCTTTTCCCTATACATTGATTTACAAATGCTTAATTTTGTTTAACCAATTTGAGGTGAGTGGGCTTTAGGTGAACCAAATTAATAATCTAGGGTTGAGAGTGTGGGAAACAAATAAATAATGAACTCTTCAATATATTGAAGCTTTTATTTATTAAAATATGATAAAACTGGGCCAAAGTCCATATTCAGCTATTTTTGTGTTTTGGGAATTAAAAATTCAGAGGGAGCTGTGGGTTCAAGTTTAAATGTAGGGAAAGTACAAAGGAGAGTGTGCTTACACACATACACATATGCATGCATGTACCATGACTCATTTTAGCCTTAGAGAATGAAACCATTTAAGAAATGAGCAATATGTAGTATTCTTAAAAAAGATTTTGATTTCCAACAGTGGTTGTGGAATGCAGCGTTCAGGGGAAAAGGGCAACTGACGTGTAATCAAGCCACCCTGATTGTCAGGAATTCAGACTCTTCTATTTTGTTCTTCTCTGACCCACAACTTGTGCCATTCAGTCCAACCCAGCTGACCCAGCCACATGCATGTCCAAGTCCAGTCAGATAAAAAGGAAGAAGGAAGAGAGCTCACCTTTCCCCTTTACATGCCCTTTGAGAAATCTGCACACGTCTCTGCTACGGCCACATCCCTGTGACCTTAACCTTGTTATATGGTAACAGCTACTTGCAAGAGGGGCTGGGAGCTGTCCTTACCCTGGGCAGCAGTGTGCCCTGCTGAAGTACTGAATTCTGTTTCCATAGCAAAAGGGGAGATTTGCACTCTTAGGGAACAATGAGCAGTGTCTCTCATACAGAGACCTCTTAATGATGTGAAGTGTATCTCTCATGATGCACCTGAGATGAATTTGGTGCATGCATCACTTAAAATATCATTGTATCTTGTGTCTCTGGCTAGATTATGAGTCCACTGAGGTCAGAACATCGTCCTTAGGTTTCACTGTACTGCTTTGGTATCCAGCATGATGTCTTCTAAAATGATAAATATACTATACCATCGATATTTGTTCACTTACTGGGGCCAGATGTTAAAATGACACATGAGTCCTCTCTTCCTACATTTTAGATTGCAGATCCAGACCTTGAATCTGCTGCTTTATTCATTTTCCAAATTAATGAGGGTAGTGATAAGTTTGTCTTTCTTGGAAGATGTTGGAGTTGTCTGAGTCGGACTTTCAGTTTGGAGTGTCAGCAGATAGAATAATATGGTGATAGAAAAGGAACTGAAATATGCCAAGGTACTCAAGGGCAAAGGGAGACAGATCTCATCACTGAATCCATTGGCTTTTGTCACCAAGACACAATCTCTATAAAGAGATGATAAAGAAGTGTGCTTTAACTCCTGTCAGCTGTTCTTGAGACTTCAGGAGAATGCATTTGAATTCTAAGCAATGTTAAGTGCAGTGAAATAGAAGGAAAAGCTAAATCTATCTTCCAAGCCTTGAGTATTTATGGAAATTAACTATAAACATTTAATTATTGTGGATTCCAATGTGTGTGTTTATTTAAAGAAGGGTGGAATGAAAAAAATCAGCAACTTTTATAGTTCACTACATCTGCTTTTTTTTTCTTTTTTCTTTTTGTTTTTTTGAGACAGAGTTTTGCTCTTGTCACCCAGGCTAGAGTGTAATGGTGCGATCTCTGCTCACTGCAATCTCTGCCTCCCAGGTTCAGGCGATTCTCCTGCCTCAGCCTCCCAGGTAGCTGGGATTATAGGTGTCCACCACTATGCTCAGCTAATTTTTGTATTTTTTTTTAGTAGTGATGGGGTTTCACCATGTTGGCCAGGCTGGTCTCAAACTCCTGACCTCAGGTGATCCACCCGCTTAGGCCTTCCAAAGTGCTGGGATTATAAGCATGAGCCACCGCGCCAGGCCTATAACTACTTTTCAAGAAAAAAAGAGCCCTCAGATTTACGCAACTGTTTTCTACCATCCCTTGTGTATAAATTGGTAATCTGTATTGTACTTTATTAATATTGTTGATTTCGCACTGTAACTCAGCTATAAAGGAAACCGACGTCAAGGGGAGAGATTTAATCACAGAATAATCAGGGCTAGAATTTTAAGTAGGACATCATTAGCATGTTAATGAATTTTCCCACCTTATGCCAGCTGCCGGAGTAGAAAAGATACTGCAGATGTAGCTAAAAAATCTGGCTGGTTCCCTGGCCCAGTGAGCTGTCAGGAATCTATGGAGGGGGATCCATAAGCTAAGTGAAGGGATTCTCAGTGAGAATACCAAACAGCAGGATTTTGTTTCTCTGAGAATGATGGTTAACCATGCCTAGCCTAAACTCATTTGTCTTTTGGTGAGTAAGAGGGGAGTGGGAGGCAGAGAAGAGGCAGTTGAAGGGTAATGAAGTTGGAGTAGAGGCACCTTTCAAATTACGGTTTGGGGTTAGGACCTTTTGCTTCAGACAGAAAAGTTGTAAGTTCACAATGACAAGATCCTGCCCTAATTTTTGGAACAGTCTCGTAATTTTTGAGCTTGCAATAGCTAATGAAAGGAAGCACGAGTGTCTTAGTCTATTTGCGTTGCTATAGAGGAATACCTGAGGCTGGTCCTTTATAAAGAAAAGAGAATTCTTTGGCTCACAGCTTTGCAGGCTGTCTAAGAAGCATAGTGCCAGCATCTGCTTCTGGTGAGGGCCTCAGACTGCTTCCACTCATGGCAGAAAATGAAGGGGAGCTGGCGTGGGCAGATCACTGGAGAGAAAGGAAGCAAAAAGAGAGAGAAGGGACATGGCACACTCTTTTTAACCACCAGCTCTCCCAGAAACTAACAGAGTGAGAACTCACTCATTGATGACCAAGCTATTCATGAGGGATCTGCCCCCATGACCCAGACACCTCCCATTAGGCTCCGCCTTCAACATTGGGGGTCAAATTTCAATATAAGGTTTGGAGGTCAAAGAAAGGAAACTATAGCAGCGACAGATTATACTGAGATACTGGTTTAACTCTGAAGTTCCTGGATGCAGCTACTTGCAGAATTTCACTTCACACCTATTAAGAAAAGTCTTTTAGTTTAGAAATCCTGTGAGTTACAAGTTCTGCATATATAGGCAGTAATTCTTTTTTCCATATATATCAGATACATGTAGAATAAATGTTC